TATGACCACTGCAAAAACATTGCTATTGTTATTGATCACCAATAAAAGGGCATTTCCTTCATTAGATGCTTATATGTATTAATACCTTTCCATAATGACTTTTTAAATGACCACCCTGTTAGCAGATTTTTTTTGACCACTAAGTGCCTGATGGCTACATTAACCCCTATTTAATTATAATCCACCATCTGGTAGAATGAGATGTGGTTCAAAGAAAAATTTGCCTTATTTTTTTCCTATAGCAAATGCCTATCAATCAATCAATTAATCAGCAAACATTTTTAACTGCCCAATATGTGCCAGTCACTGTTCTATGTGCTAGAGATACAAAGTCAATGGAAGTCTCTCCTCTTGAGGACCTTACATTCTATGAGGGGACACATGCACATATATGAGATTATACAAAAGATGTACCAAATCAATTCCAGATTATTTAGTAGGAGAAGCACTAGCAGCTGGGGGGTCAAGAAAGGCTTTGTGTAAGCAATGGAGTTCTTGAGCTGAGTTTTGAAGTAAGCAAGGGATTCTAAGTGTTGGAGGTGAGGAGGTAGTGCGTTCTAGACACAGGGACAACCAGTGCAAAGGCATGGATGTGGGAAATGGAGTGGTATATGTGACAAACAGCAAGAAAGCCAGGCTGGCTGGTTTGCTGGGGGAAGGAAGGAGAGAAAGGTAAAACAAGGCTGGAGAGGTAGGTCAGGATCAGGTTATAGAGGACTTTAAAAGCCACACGGTGGACTTTATAAATTTGATTCTAAAGGCAACAGGGAGTCATTGGAGTTTGAGTAGAAGAACATGGTAAACTGTTTTGTGGTGGTAGAGATCAAAGAGAAAAGGAGGAAGTCCCTTTTCCCCTTTCTTATGTTGGGTGAATCACTCTCTGGAACTTATGGGAGGGCAGGAACAGGAGAGGCAAGCATGGCTGAGTTGTGAAGGGAAGGCCCACACTGGTAGAATCCTAGAAGCAGCCCAATATTTGAGAGAGAAAAGGAAACTGGCAGAAAATCTCCAGTTGAGAAAATGTGATTTGAGATGATTTTCAAAAGGAGGGCTGATGAGGCAAAATGAGAAAGTATTTGCAAGTTTTGAGGAGTTGGAAGGAAAGAGACTAGAGGAGATAAAAAAATCCCGTACAAAAATAATTAAGATCGTTTGGAAGGTTCTGCTGTCATGAGTTTAGTCTGTTCTTGGTGGCCATCAAGGATGCAGGATGCAGTTCAAAGACAGTGCTTCTCATATAGCAACCTTTTAAGTTGTTTTTTTTGTTCTTTTTTGTAGCCATACCTGCCTCAGTAGTCTCATGGTTGCAGTCCAGAACATACTGCAGTTAGAAAAAAGCTGGGGGGTCAAGAAAGGCTTTGTGTAAGCAATGGAGTTCTTGAGCTGAGTTTTGAAGTAAGCAAGGGATTCTAAGTGTTGGAGGTGAGGAGGTAGTGCATTCTAGACATAGGGACAACCAGTGCAAAAGCATGGATGTGGGAAATGGAGTGGTATATGTGACAAACAGCAAGAAAGCCAGGCTGGCTGGTTTGCTGGGGGAAGGAAGGAGAGAAGGGTAAAACAAGGCTGGAGAGGTAGGTCAGGATCAGGTTATAGAGGACTTTAAAAGCCACATGGTGGACTTTATAAATTTGCCTGAGGCAGGTATTCTATCCATCTCTCCTTTCTGCCCCTCTTTTCTCGTCCTGTCTTTCTCTCCCCCTCTTCCTTTTTTTTCTTTTCCTCTTCCCCCCTTTTCTCTTTCTCCCTCCTCCATTGAAAGAAAGAAGTTTATTGGGTGAATCTCTCTCTGGAACTTATGGGAGGGCAGGAACAGGAGAGGGAAGGATTCTCTGAGGCCTTCCTGACTTCTTTTTCTCCCTTCCTCCCTCCCTCATTCTCTTTCCTCTTCCTCGGTCTCTCCTCCTCCATCTCCATTTCTCTCCCCTTCCTTCCCTCCCTCTGACTCTCATTTCTTTTCCCATTTCCTTTACCTTCACCTCTTCCTCTCTCCCTTCTCATTTCTGTGCCTCACTTTCTCTCCCTCCTCTTCCTTTTTCTTTTGCTCTTTCTCCTCCCTTTTCTCTCTCCCTTTTCCCCCCACCCCCTTACAAATATTTATTTCATAAGCAAATTTCCCACCTTCACATCACTGATGTTTTAGCAGGAACACTTTTAAAGCTATTTAAACTCCATTATTATACTAGTCTCGTGATACTACATTTAACACTAGGAGGGAAATTCTGGTGGCCAAGGCACATTTCCATTAGTATAATAAATTTAGAACACAAATGTCCCAAATTGAGTATGTTTCTAGACACCTGACCATAATACACGATGGCCTGTTTTAAGGGTATGTATTGCCTCACTTGAAGCCTAGTGAATTAAATTTGGTCTAAACCAGAATGCCATTTTAGTCATTTACCTACCTGAAGGCTGAACTAGTTGAGAAGTTTAAAGTACTTTAAATCTATGATTTTTTTTTTAAATCTTTGTGACCTTGCCTTGGGTAAGTCATTTTACCTCCTTGGGCCTTAGTTTCCTCATCTATAAAATGAGAGAGTTGGCTTTGATGACCTCTAAGGTCTCTTTCAGCTTTAGATCCATGATTACTGAGAATTGGTCCCCTCTAGCTTATTTCAAACCACAAATTTAAAACTAGAATTCATCTCATTCAACCACCTTAATTTACAAATGAGGAAATTGGGGCCCAGAGAAGTTATATAACTTGTCAAGGTTAACACAGGTAGTAAATGGCAGTCCTAGCATTCAAACTCAGGTCTCTAACTCTAAATTGAATGCTTTATTGTCCCATGCTTGCCTAGAGTTGTCCTTCATCCCAATACGTGTGACCAAAAACAGTCAATGGTATTTTAATGTAAATGTCAAGGCTCATATGTAAAAACTGATCCATTTGTAAGCAAACCTTTAATAAAACACCATCACATGCATAAATCAGCTCAATTTAAGATGTAAAAAAAAGTAAGTAGTTTTAAAAGCATTTTTGTTAAATTAAAAAACAATGAACACAAAGATAGTTATTTTTTTTTATTTGAATGGACAGTGAGCTTTAAAAGTGAAATGAATTTAGTTAATTTTTCATTCAAATAAAACACTCCAAATTTTAAAAAATGTCAATGCACTGAAAGAAACTTTTAAATTACCTTGATTTTTTTTAAAGCCCTAGATCCAGTTCATTTCTGATTTTAGGCAACAACTGTCTTCTAATTTGGAGAAGACAGGCTAATATGTCCATGGACTAATATCTATGCATGGGGTAGAAAGGATATATGCAATGGATACAAAACGAGAGCAATTTTCACGTATAAGTTTTATGAAAATCAACTATCACACATATGTGGCATATTGGTGAGTATGTATGTTGTATGTAAGTTGAGCATAATTATTCATGATCTATGCGTACACCGGTAGTATAGATCTCATCGGTTGTCTTCTCTACCCTCACTGATGGCAGATCCCCACTCTTGTACACAAACTTAACCTACGACGGAGTCAACAACGTCTTTTCTGTTGTGAGAGAAAAGGTATACAATTGTTCACCAGGTCGCCTGTCAGAACTTCTTCGGGTGGTTCTTGTTGTTTGGTGAGAAATCTTTCTTGTGCGGCAGAGTGAACATGACACAAGTCAATCGGAGAGTGGACGTGGAAGTTCCAGAAAGAAAATTCATCTCGGCAATGGATATTATGGTCCTCAAAAAATCCTGAAAAATAACTGATAAAGAAAACAAGAAAAGAGTAGTAAAACATCGTCAAGTGTTTAAACATCTAAGCGGAAAACATCACTAAATGTTTAAATCGAGTTTTAAAGATGTGACATTGTGACTTGAAGCTCTTACAACATCATTAGCGATACCAAATGGAATTTAAAAAGAATTGACTGTATATATCTTTTTTTTTAATAAATAGAAGGGCAGTGAAGATGATGGTTCTTAGAACTATCTGATTTTCTGTTTACTAGATACTAAATAGAAGTTATTCCTTGTTAGTGTTAGATTATGCTTTGCTTTAGCATGTCTTGGAGGAAATTAGCAATTTAAAATAGTGACAGACAGAAGGAACCAATAGTGAGCATTAGGATGTTCTCTAGGCTTATTCTTAACTTGTCTATGGAGGAACAAGATTGTGGGGGGAGGGGACAATACTAACCATCTCTTAGAGATGTTTATCCTTTCCAGTTTACACAATACTTCCACATGCATCGATCAATAAATAGGTCAAATTGGACTCCCTGGGAGGAAAATGTCATTGCAGTGTCTTTTCTCAGGATAGATACTAATAATTCTATGGCACTTTTCACAACTCTAGGTACTGCTATAATATCCTTGGACAAAATTCAGAAATTGCCTTAGGGTATTTATACTTAAATGACTTATTTCTGATGAGATCATGTCTTCCTGTCACCAATAACTAGACATTTTAAGAAAAATAGCAACACTCAAGTGAAATACTTAGATCACTAATATAGGACTGGTACATTAATAGCCAAAACATATGGCTGAAATGATTGAACATTGTTGATTATTAGCCATATGTATCTCCTATGCTTTTTCTTCTTCATATGCCTCTTGCCCAAAGATCCTGAAATATGTATGCAGAATCTTAAGAATATCTGGTTTTGTATACATTTCCATAGGAATTTATAATGAAAAGGCTCCCCTGAACTTCTATTGACATCTTTAACCCTAACGTAAAAACCTAACATCAGATTGAGAACAAATTTAATCTTTTAACATTTCTCATTGTTAAATGTGAGAATGTAGGTAAAGCCTTTGGTACCCAGTAGTTAGTCATCACTGTCATAATGTTTCTACAGACAGGTGGCATTACATTAATGTGAGTTGAAACAATCTTCAATTCACTTGGATTCAGAACTATTTCCTTTCTTCAACTTTATGTTTTCCGCATTCAGTTAGCCTGTGAACTTAATGATGTTTTACTACTCTTATCTTCTTTCTCTCTTTGTCAGTTATTTTTCGGTTTTTTCTGAGGAGCATAATATCCATTGCCGAGATGGGTATTTTTTCTGGAACTTACAAGTTCATTCTCCTGCTGGCTTGTGCCGTAGTTCAGTGTGCCGCAATGGAAAAGAATTACACCATACTAGAAGAACTACCTGAAAATGTCCTGATAGGTGATCTGGTGAAGGATCTCAACTTGACATTCTCACCAGAGAAGACACTCTCGACTCCCTTGCAGTTTAAGTTAGTGTACAAGAGTGGGGATCTGGCATTAGTGAGGGTAGAGGAGGCAACTGGTGAGATCTATACCACCGGTGTACGCATAGATCGTGAAAAATTATGCTCTGGTGTCTTTGCTGAGACTCACTGTGTTTATGAAGTTGAAGTAGTTGTTTTGCCAGATGAAATCTTTAAATTGGTCAAGATCCGCTTTCTGATCGAAGACATCAATGATAATGCCCCACTCTTTCCTGCGACGGTCATCAACGTTTCAATTCCTGAGAACACTGCTATCAATTCCCGATTTCCGGTACCTTCAGCTGTTGATCTTGATGTTGGCATTAATGGAATTCAACAGTACCATCTGCTTAACGTGAGTTTTAAAGTATTTGTTCTGTAAAACTTCTTGCTTTGTTAGAATAGTGGAAGCTCATGTCAAGATTTTGTAGGGCTTAACTTGATTGATTAAACTAAATTGGGTTTGGTTGAGAAAACTTATCAAAAAATTTAGCAACCACATAGGGTTTGATGAAACTTAATTTTGCATATATACATATATTCCTGTGTAAATTGGCATTTGTGTTCATGTTAGTCAATTAATGAAGGCTAAACACAGTGCCTAGTAGTACCACCCAAAAGGCAAAGGCCAACACAATTTTATGCCTTTTGTTTAGTTGTGGTTTCTCTATGTATGTATATGTAGCATATATGTCCCTTGGTAGAATTGAATTAAATACATAAAATCACTCTTTCAAGAATATATTTAAAGGCCTTTATGAAAAGTTTACACACAGTTAGCTAGCTTGTCATTTGAAAATCCTATAGCTGACTTTTAAGAGCGATCATTATGATAATTGTATTTTAGAAAGTGTTACTCAGAGGAAGTTTATCGAACATTCAAATCAATCAGAAATTTTGAGTATGGGGCCATAAATTTAGGGCTTCGGAAGCTTAGGGGACATCTAGTGCAGCCCATTCATTTTATGTTTGAGAGAACCGAGTCTCAGAGCAATGAAATAACCTGCCCAAGGCTATGCACATAGAAAGAGTCAGAGTGGTCATTTGAACCTGGGTCTTCTCATTCCAAATCTAGAGCTCCTTCTACTGCCTTGAAGATATGTTATTGATAGGGAAATAATAGGGAAGTAGGTTCCTTGTATTAGTGGGCTGCTACTCAAATGTTCATGAAACATAGACTTATTATCTTTCCTTCTAACCCCTACCTCCACCTGAGCACTAACATCCTCCAGTCATCCCGGTCTACCACCTCAGTGTCATTCTGGACACCTCACTTTCACTTAACCCACATATCCAATCTGTGACCAAACCTTCTCATTTCTACCATTACAACATGATATCCAATCTGTGACCAAACCTTCTCATTTCTACCATTACAACATGTCCTCTTCTCTCCACTCCAATAGCCACAACCCTAATTAAGGCCTTCAGCACCTCTTCAGGACTACTGCAATAGACTTCTAGCTGGTCTCCTTGTTTCAAATCTCTATCCTTTCTGACACTTTTTCCACTCAGCAGCAAAGGTGATTTTTCTAAAGTGGAGATCTAGTCAATTCACCCCTCCACTCAATGACTTACTTGTAGTTTCTAGAATACTGTGTTCTGTGGAGACTGTGCCAGTAGAACCCAAATTTTGGTAGGTCTCACCAAGTTGGAAAATCTTTCATTGCTAGCTTGGTGACAGGTTGCACATGTGTCATCTGCCTATCTCCCTTCTCTTTGCCTTTGCAGTGGCTAGCCACCATTCCTAAAATGCTTTGCTTCTCTTGCCTCGCTCTCCTTCCTCATCCTTTCTTTGGTTTCCTTCAAAGCACAGCTCAACTACTACCTTCTGCAGGAGGCTAGCCTTTCCTCTTTCCCCAGCTAGTAATGTCTTCCTCTTTCAGATTTCTATATTTAGATCAATTTTAAACATCAAAAGTGGAAGTTTTCTGTTCTAGAATGTTTTTTTAATGTCGTTGGGAGAATTGGAAATTTCAATAAGTTAAACTAAAATTGAGAGCAGGTCAAATATAACATGACTGGCCCTTCAGGCCTCTTCTTCCTGAAAAAAAAAATTGTATTCTTTGTTGTGTCTAGAGCTCAGTGCCCTAGTGAATAAGGAATTTTGTCAGCTTTCCCCCAGGGCAACTCTTCCACAAAATCTCCAGGTTGGCTTGAAGATTCACTGATTCTGATTCATGCCAACAATTTAATGGGAATAAAATACTGGCCTAATTTTAGCTTTGTTAAAAAATGTCTTGTCATTTGGCTGACTTTGAAAGAATGTCAGCAGATGACAAAGGGACAGGTTGCCCTGCCATCTTTAAGGTAGCCTTAGAAGTAGAATTGCTCTGAAATTTGTTCTGCTTTTGGGTTGTGTGGTGTACCTAGTGTAAAGGTGTACCTGTATGGCCCTGTGGACATACACAATGAGTCTTCACTGCTCATTAAAAATAATGAGAATGTGACACAAAGCCTGGCTTTGGGCATGCAGAGGCACATGGCATGGCAGGTGTTAATTGAGTGTACTTTTGACTTGCAAAAGGGTACTGCCATGAAAGTGATGCATTAGGGAAAGTGGGAGAGAGAAGAAATAGCTTAGGATTCATCTGTGATCTTTCTAAACTTTTACAAGTTGAAAGTAGACCTTCTATAGTCATTTCTTTTAAGGGATCACCAATCACTCCTGCAAAAAAAAATAGAGCAAAATGAAATCAATATTACCTTGCTTTATTTTTTGAGAATAGGTAGGGATAGCAGAATAGTACTTGCTAATCAAGGATTAGAAGAGAATGTGGAAGCTTAAAAAATATTTGATGGGAGGCAAAGGAGTAGAAAGAGTTGGTATACTAAAGAAATTCTAGGGGAAAAAAGTATATCTGTTAATAAACATAGTGCTAAAGTCCTACTCTGCTACCTAATTATGATGTGAGGGTGGCCCTGTGTCTGTGGAGACTGTGCCAGTAGAACCCAAATTTTGGTAGGTCTCACCAAATTGGAAAAGATTTCATTGCTAGCCTGGTGACAGATTGAACATGTGTCATCTGAGGACCACTGCAGGTTAGTTTGGAGAGATCCCTTATCAGATTGACTGCAGGAGGATTACTTTTTCAGCCATAGAAGCTCTTGAAGATGGTCTACCACTTCACAGAGCAGTTGGGTTGTGAGTTGGTGGAAGGAATACCTGTATTGATGGAATCACAGATTTTTGAGTCTACAAATAAGTAAGAAATTCATTATAATTTTATTTATTAAGGAAACTCCATGTTGGTATATTAAGAAATCCAATCACAAATAACCCTACTTGATATTGCTCTGTACAGACTTTAATATTCATCTGTGACATCTTATATCCTCCCATTATTATGTAAGCACCTTGAGGGAGGAGAACTCCATTTTTGTCTTGATGGCCCCAGCATCCATTAGATAGATAGTTAATATTTGTTCTCCTGGTTCTGCTCACCTCACTCTGTAGTATAGTACTAATGTCTCTCCTCTCTCATAGCTCCCAAACTGGTATTTCTAAAGCCCGGATTCAAATATGTCCCTCTGCCTCTTACTAAACTCCAGTGACTCCTCATGACTTCTAAAATCAAATACAAACTCTTGTTTGGCATTTTAACTCCCTTCACAATGTGGATTCTGGTTTAATTTCCAGCCTTATTGTAGTGGAATATTTACTGCCCTTCACATACTTTTTAGTCCAGCTAAACCGGCCTTGTTGTTCCTCCCACAACACTCCATCTCTTGTCTCCAAGCTTCTCTAAAGGCTGTCTTTCACACTTGGAAAACACTCCGTTTTCCATCTGTGTCAGAATTACTAGTTTTCCTTCATGGCTCAGTCCAAGTACCACCTCTTGCCTGATGCCTTTCCTGTTCTCCTCAGTTGCTAGTGTACCCTCCCCCTCCAATGAAATGACCTTGTATTTCTTTTATGTATACTCATGTGCATATATTTTCTTTCCCAAAAGACTGTGGTATTCTCAAGGATGAGGATTGTTTTTATTTTTCTTGGTTTCCTCAGTTCCTAGCACAGTAACTTGGCACATACTAGGTATCTGATAAGTGTTTGTTAATTGGTGGATAGTTGAATCACGGGATTTTATTCCATTCTGAGATGGAATGTCTGAATTATGTCTGAATTAACCAAATTAAACTAGAAAAACATTTTTAGAAGGTCAATAAAGAAAAGATGAGGTAGCTAATTTCTTTCTAGATCTCTAAGTGTAGATCAGCTGTTGTAATCACTTTGGAGGGAGGGGCCTGTTAGACGAAAAAGCAAAGCAAATTGAAAAGTCACATATGCCTTCACCCACCCTAGCCAATGGTGAACTTCACCTTTTCGGCAAATCAGGTCAACCCCTACAGGGAACGGTTCCCGTCAGTCAAGAGAGGTGTCTTGTCAGCCTCCTCTTGTTCCTTGGATTCAGTCAGCTGTGTGCTCCCCCCACGAGTTTATCCTAACCTTGATGTCTTCATGCTAAGGAAAGTGGTGCTGTGACAGGAATTCCCTAGAATCATTATCGTAGATTTAGCCTTTAATTTGGTGTAACTGTGTGAGGGCTTCATAGCATTATTCTCCTTCTTTGTGGTATTTAAAGAACAAGATAAATTGTTCAAGTCATTGAATACTCTAGACTCTTAGAGAGATGCTGGCCTGGAGCAGCAAGTGACAGTGTCTCTTTCACTTTTATTTTATTAATTTGATTGCTTGTTATGTATGAAGCTTCCTTTCATATTATATGTCTTCCTGACAGGGCAGCCAACACTTTCACAAATAGAAATGTCCCTCAAGCACCCAACCTAACTCAGGGCATATATACCACAGGGACCTCCTCTCCATGGCAGGATCTGGAGGGAAATTTATTTGTCTGATACTGTTACATATGTCTTCATTTTCTGCTTTAGATTTCCATCACTGTTCCCATATATCAGCGGCTAAATTCACACACTAACCCAGTGGCAGAGTGTACTGATGGGTTCCCTTGAGACAGACATGAAACTGTTCCTATGGCTGACAGTGCCTGCTGAAGAGTGGCATGCTATGCACACTTTTCTCAGGAGAGTTTCCCATGATTCACCCCTCCCTTTCCCCATGTAATGCCTTAGGAACCAGAGTGCTTTCTGAGTCATCTTGGCCTGGTCTCTAATCTCTGTTTTTAATCGAATGAGACATGGTGAGAGTGGGGAGGGGGGAGTGTTGTCTGCACACGGAATGAAAACTGCAGCTATTCCTGAAACAAAGGTTGGAGTTGGAGTTATGAGGATCACCTTATGGGTGATGAAGCTAGATTTGTAATGAAATCTGAGGTTATAAACTCCAAGTTATGAAATAATCATCTAACAGAGCAAACAATTTTGATTCAAATCGAC